AATAAATAAAAACGTTGAAAAAAAAAATTAAAAAAAAAAATACAGCATGTTCATGAACCAGAAAACTTAACATCATTAAGATGGCAATACTCCCTGTGTGAGTTTCCCAGGGCTGCCGTAACAAAGTGCTACAAAGGGAGTGGTTTAAAACCACAGAAAACAGAGCTCTTACAGTTCTGGAAGCCAGAAGTCTGAAATCAAAGCTGTGCTAACAGGGCCACACTTCCTTTGAAAGCTCCAGAGAATAGTTCCTTGCCTCTCCCAGCTTCTGTTGGCCCACATGTTCCTTGGCTTATGGCAGGATTAACTCCAATCCCTGCCTTGGTCTTCATATGGCCTCCCTGAGTCTCTCCTGTGTCTCTATATGTCTCCAAATCTCTCCTTATAAGGATGGTAGTCACTGGACTGACAGGGCTCTCCCTAAACTAGTAAGACCTCATCTTACCTTGATTACATCTGCAGAGATCCTATTTCCAAATAAAGTTGTATACACAGATACCAGAGTAGAATTTCACGTACTTTGGGGAGACAATTCAACCCACAAAACTCCCCAGACTGATCTACAGATTCAGTGCAATCCCTGTCAGAATCCCAGCTGACTTCTTTGTAGAAACTGACAAGATGATTCTAAAATTTACATGAAATTACAAGGGAACAAGAATAGTCAAACAGACGTGCCTGGGTGGCTCAGTCGCTCCTCCAGCTCTTTGGTTTCGGCTCAGGTCATGATCCCATGGTTTGTGGGTTCAAAACCTGTGTTGGGCTCCACGTTGACAGTGCAGAGCCTGCTTGGGATTCTCTCCCTCTCTCTCCCTCTGCTCCTCCTTCACTCTCACTCACATTCTCTCTTTCTCTCTCCCTCCCTCTCTCTCAAAATAAATCAATAAACATAAAAAAAAGAAAGAATACTCAAATAATCTTGACAAAGAACAAACTAGGAGGACTCTCACTTCCTGATCTCAAAACTTACCCAAAAGCAACAGTCATCAAGACAGTATAGTATTGGCATAGGACTGACACATATATAGATTAATGGAATAAACCTGAGAGTCTAGAATTAAATCCATAAACCTAGGATCAACTGATTCTTAACAAGTGTGCCAAGGTCATTCAATAGGGAAAAAAGTCTTTTCAATAAATGGCGCTGAGACAACTAGATATACACCTCACACCAGATAAAAAAATTAACTCAAAATGGATCAAGGACCTAAACATGAAAGCTAAAACTATAAAATTCTTAGAAGAAAACATAGGGGTCTTTATGACTTCATATTTGACCATGGATTCTTAGACACCAAAAGCACAAACAATAAAATAAAAATAAATTGATTTCATATAAATTAAAAAACTTTTGTGCTTCAATGGACACCATAAAAAAGTGAAAAGAAAGCCCACAAAATGGAACAAAATATTGCCAATCATATATCCAAAAAGGAATTTGTATCTAGAGTATATAAAGAACACTTACAGGGGTACCTGGGTGGCTCCATCAATTACGCATCTGACTTTGGCTCAGGTCATGATCTCTTGGCTTATGGATTTGAGCACCACATCGGACTCTAAGCTGACAGCTCAGCCTGGAGCCTGCTTCAGATTCTATGTCTCCCTCTCTCTCTACCCCTCCCATATTCACGTTCTGTCTCTCTTTCTTTCAAAACTTAATGAACATTAAAAAAAAATTTTAAAAACAGGGCTCCTGGGTGGCTCAGTCAGTTAAGCGTCCAACTTCAGCTCAGGTCATGATCTCGCAGTTCATGAGTTCAAGCCCCGTGCTGACAGTTTAGAGCCTGGAGCCTGCTTCAGATTCTGTGTCTTCTTCTCTGCCTCTCCCCAGCTCATGCTTGCTCTCTCTCTAGCTCTCTCTCTCTCTCAAAAAAAAAATAATTAAAAAAAATTTTTTTATAAAAAAAATAAAAATAAAATAACACTTACAACTCAATAATAAAAAGACAACCTAATTGAAAAATGGAGAAAAGATCTGAATAAATTTATTTCCAAAGAAGACACACAAATGGCCAATAAGGACATGAAAAGATGCTTGACCTCATTAGACATCAGGGAAATACAAATCAAAAGAGCAATGAGACACCACCTCAGAAAGTTGAATAATAACACTAGGATGGCTAAAATCAAAAAGCCAGATAATAACAAGTATTGGTGAGGATGTGGAAAAATCAGAACCCTGCTGGTAGGAAGCCACCTTGCAAAACAGTATGGCAGTTCTTCCAACAGTTAAGTATAGTCGTTACCATATGACCTAGCAATTCCACTCCTAGGTATATACCCAACAGAAATGAAAGCTAGTCCACTCAAACACTGTTCACAAGTATCTATAGTATCACTATTCATAACAGCCAAAAGGTGGAAAACAATAGAAAGCATCAACTGATAGGTAAATAAAATGTGGTATATCTCTACAATGGGAGGGTACTCTGTAATAAAAAGGAATGGATTATTGATACATGCTTCCTGTTGGGTGAATCTTGAGAACATTATGCTGAGTGAAAAAAAAAGCAGTCACAAAAAAACATGTTATATGATTCTGTTTATACAAAGTGTTCAGAATAGGCAAACTTACGAGCAGAAAGTACGTTAGTAGTTGCTTAAAGCCAAGGAGGGGTGGAACAGGGGAAAAAGAAGGTGATAGCTAAAGTATACAGGGTTTCTGCTTGAAGTGATGGAAGTATTTTAAAATTAACTTTGATATATGATGGTGCATATATTTGTGAATATACTAAAAACCACTGAATGTTATACTTTAAATGGGTAAACTGGGGGCGCCTGGGTGGCGCAGTCGGTTAAGCGTCCGACTTCAGCCAGGTCACGATCTCGCGGTCTGTGAGTTCGAGCCCCGCGTCAGGCTCTGGGCTGATGGCTCAGAGCCTGGAGCCTGTTTCCGATTCTGTGCCTCCCTCTCTCTCTGCCCCTCCCCCGTTCATGCTCTGTCTCTCTCTGTCCCAAAAATAAATAAACGTTGAAAAAAAAAAAAAATTTAAATGGGTAAACTGTATGGTATGTAAATTATATCACATTAAAGCTGTTACAAAAAAAACAAATCACAGTTCCAGAAAAATCATGTCATTCTTAAAACATCGCTTAAACTGAGATCCATTCAATTACCTGAAAATATTCTCCTCAAATTAGACGAAAGGGAAACAAATGATATTTTTACTTCTAAACCTCCCCCCCGCTCCTATTCTACTTGTTGGGAAGTTGCTACAAATTCTTATGCTTTGCCCCTCTGCATTTAAAAAAGAGGATTGTGAGGGGTGCCTGGGTGGCTCAGGCAGTTGGGTGTCCGACTTCGGCTCAGGTCATGATCTCATAGTTCATGGGTTTGAGCCCCGCGTTAGGCTCTGTACTGACAGCTCAGAGTCTGGAGCCTGTTTTGGATTCTGTGTCTCCCTCTCTCTCTGCCCCTCCCCTGCCCGTGCTGTCTCTCAGTCTCTCAAAAATAAATAAACATTAAAAAAAAAATTTTTTTTTTTAAAAAGAAGATGGTGAGAAAGGAAATTAATATTTAATGCATGTCTTCAATGCTTGATTCTGTACATTCTTAATTTAACTTAAAAATCATTTTACCTCCATTTTTAAATGGGAAGACAGGTACAGAGAGATAAAGCAAGTTGCCCAAGACCATAAACGTGTAAGGGGCTGGGGGACTTGAGTTCAAGTTTTTCTGACTCTAGATCCTGCATTCTTCCTGCTCAAACAAACTAAACATCTCCTCCTCCAGCTTCTTGTACTCTCAGTTCTTCAGGTTGAACCATGAGCAACAAACAAACATACTTGGCAAGGCGAGAAGACCGACGTAAGTCTGCAGCTTCTCAAACACAGCTGTCATTTTTCTCATGTCCTGAGACAGCTCTAGATTCCTGGCTCTCAACGCAGATGTGCAAAGAGAAGATTCACATTCTTCTTCTAAACTAGGAATGAGCAGATTTTTCAAAAGTGAGCATCCTAACGATTTTCAAATAGCTACAATAAATCCTCTCAATTCTCAAACAACTAGATCCAAAGAGAAAACTTTACAAAAAAGAAAAAAAAATTTATTTCATTTATAAGGTTCCGTTTTTTAAACCGTAATACACATACCTGTTGGCTGCAAATGTCAAAGGAGTAACAGAGGACTAAATGGGAAATAAAAAAAAAAAGGCAGGTGTCCATTGTCTTTCCATTCTGAGAACAGCACAAAATTATTTCTCTTAAAAATATTTTGAGGACAAAAATATTTTGAGGAGGGGTGCCTGGCTGGCTCAGGTGATAGAGCATGTGATTCTTGATCTTGGGGTCATGAGTTCAAGCCCCACACCGGGCACAGAGCTGAAAGGAAAAGGAAAAGGAAAAGGAAAAGGAAAAGGAAAAGGAAAAGGAAAAGGAAAAGGAAAAGGAAAAGGAAAAGGAAAAGGAAAAGGAAAAGGAAAAGGAAAAGGAAAAGGAAAAGGAAGGGAAAGGAAGGGAAAGGAAGGAAAAAGAAAAGAGAAGAAAAGAAAGAAAAGAAAAGAGAAGAAAAAGAATACAAAAATATTTTGAGGAGAAAAATATCTCATAGACTGACTTCCTAAAGAGAACTGAACAGGAACCAGCAGACAGTCAATCATTAAGAAACCTTTATAGTATATGTATTTGTAAGGTTAAAAAAACAGGTGGATTCTTAACAGTACTTTTTAAAAATGTGCAGGTAATCCCTCCCCTGTTCGTGCTCTGTCTCTGTCTCTCAAAAATAAATAAACGTTAAAAAAATTTAAAAAATAAAATGTGCAGGTAATCAAGCAAAATGCTTTTTATACAAAGCTAGAAGAGTTATTATCACAGGAAAAATAATCATATCTCCCTCCTCGACCTTGACATGTCTCTTTTTCTACTTTATAGCAGACAGCTTCATTTAATATTAAGCCCGTTTACAACTAAAAAACATGCCATCTTGTCAATTAAAGTGGTTTTAAAACCAATGATGAAAAGTTGCCTAAAAACATAAATATATGATGGGGTAGGGAACAACATTCCAAAAATAGGAATCTAAGATCAAGAAAGGTCTTATCCAATGTTTCTAAAAACTCAATAGTGAAAAAATTAATTAAGGTAAAATAAAAATGCCTAAGTGTTTCAAGTAGTAAATACCACTTTTGCAGTGGTTCTCAGATTCCTCTTAAACATAAGCCAGATCAATAAGGTATATTCAATTTAGTGTTAAACTTCTAGAATCAATTTTCAAAAAACTTTAACTATACTGAACCATAAGATGTAAGAATCTGAATGAAATGTAATTCATAATTATTAAAGTCCTAACTCCTTGATTCCTAAAATTCTATCATACCAACAAATCATAAAATTTGGTTACTGAAATAACTTTTAATTAAGAATTAAATAACATTTAATTAGGAAATAAAATGGCTTTTAACACATATTAAATGTTTCAAATAATGAAAGTATACATTTTTAAAAAGGTAGGGGCGCCTGGGTGGCGCAGTCGGTTAAGCGTCCGACTTCAGCCAGGTCACGATCTCGCAGTCCGTGAGTTCGAGCCCCGCGTCAAGCTCCTGACTGTTTCCGATTCTGTGTCTCCCTCTCTCTGCCCCTCCCCCGTTCATGCTCTGTCTCTCTCTGTCCCAAAAATATAAATAAACGTTGAAAAAAAAAAAAATTTAAAAAAAAAAAATAAATAAATAAAAATAAAAAGGTAAAACCTACTACTTTAGTTTTATAAGGATTTATGAACCATAATTACTTGTATATTTTCAAAATCTCTAAGTGAGTTACTTACATATGAGTTATCTACATATTTTCTAAAGTTTATTCTACAATATATTATAACACATCTGTGTTCTTGTTTCTCTTGTGTTCCAGTTGTATTCTTTTTTTTTAAGGCTAAATCTTAGGATGAAAAGATTTAGATGGAGGTCTTGTTAGTTTTAGACCAAAAATATCAAAATGTACAAGCAATATCAAATTTCCAGTTATGGAGATTATTTTCGCTTTCCCTTCCAGAAATACTTAACAAAGAATACTTAAGGTTACATAATGACATCTTCTACGAGGGGTGGAGCACATACACAAAATTTTTAGTTTGTAACTTATAAACATCACCAATAATAAAAACAAGAAAATACCACCTTGAAGAAACCTAATGATTACAGGTCCAATCGTAGAAGCTAACTATTATAACCCCCATCTAAATGGGGGTTTTGTTTACAGCAAAAAGATAAAACTGAAATTATTTCAATAAATGTGTGATTCACAATCACTGAAAACATGGATTCATACTGTTATGTGATTATAGCAGTAATCACAGTACAGAACTACTCAAAAAAACCCTAACAGATGCACAACAAATTTTCTTAAATATAAGTTTATGCTGCTCAAGCCATATTTTCCTTTTTTGTAAAAGTCCAAATTGGCTATGATGCAGAAAGATCAGGCAGATCACAAGAGATACCTGTCTCTATTTTATTAATTCCAGCACAGGTCAGGTGACACCCCACAATTCCCCAAATTCCTTGCCCTCAAGGATTAAGTACCTTTTTAACTGATAAGGAAGAATCTTCCTAAGAAAACATATGTAAGAGGTTAAGTGCTCTGAAAAAGTTTTCAATTTCACAGTAGTCTCCTGGAAGAGAAAAATAATTTCATGGTTAATAGTGTTATTTGACAAAGAGAGCCTCCATTTCCAGAAGTGAAACACAGAAGAAAATTACCAGGACAGTCACAGTATCCTCAGTAATACTTTCAAATAAATGAAGCATTCCTTCCTCAAGAGGGCGGACGTAGGACGCATTTTCATGAAGGTATTGTGAGAACTAAATACAGAAGGGAAAGAATTGGGAGTTACATCACTGGAAAATAACAAATACCAACAGATTTGTAAATGGACTCAACTGAGTTGCAATAAACTTTTTTGGGAAATTTTTCTGGGAAATTTGGCTTTTACAAAACAGATATGCTCCCCTCTAATAGTTCCAAATACAATCCCCAAGTCCCCATCTCATTCCAAAAGGAGGAACTTGAAAGGGGGCCCGGGAGACATAATTAACAACCAGGCATGGGTGGAAATGGGGAGGGGACACTGCATCACAACCAGCACCACAGGCCTTCCCCAAACACCTGCTTCTCTACAGGGGTCTCCGTTAAAAAAAAGAAAAGAAAATCAAAACTGTATGAAAGGTTTTTAGGTTATGTATCTCATTCTTTAAAAAATTTTTTAATGTTTATTTTGAGAGAGAGAGAGAGAGAGAGAGAGAGAGCACGTACAAGGGGGGGGCAGAGAGAGAGAGGGAGACACGGAATTCGAAGCAGGCTCCAGGCTCTGAGCTGTCAGCACAGAGCCCAATGTGGGGCTCTAACTCACAAAGCAGTGAGATCATGACCTGAGCCAAAGTCGGACGCTTAACCAACTGAGCCACCTAGGTGCCCCTGTACCTTTTTTAAAAAACAAGTCTATTAAGGACAGATTTTTTTTTTTTTAATTTTTTTTTCAACGTTTATTTATTTTTGGGACAGAGAGAGACAGAGCATGAACAGGGGAGGGGCAGAGAGAGAGAGGGAGACACAGAATCGGAAACAGGCTCCAGGCTCTGAGCCATCAGCCCAGAGCCCGACGCGGGGCTCGAACTCACGGACCGCGAGATCGTGACCTGGCTGAAGTCGGACGCTTAACCGACTGCGCCACCCAGGCGCCCCTATTAAGGACAGATTTTTATTTGTACTGTGGACAATGTTCAGAGTTAACAAAGTCCAGAAATACAATTCTCACCAACATGAGGATATAAAAACTTTCATTACCATCACTGATGTTTAGTATTTAAGAACAATTCAGTATGAAGAATCAACTCAGAAAAACATCCTACAGGCATTTAGACAACTTAAAAGCAAAAAGGTTAATTTTCACCTACAAAACATCTCAATTACTGTATAATGAGTATTGTATAATGGCTCAAATGTTGATTTCTAAGTATAGAAATGTAAGATCTCACTATGCAGAAATGTGATTCAACTGGCCCCCCCTAAACTATAGATACATGGCTCTGGGCATCTCAGTCTTTCTGGACTTCAATCTTTAGACCTGTGAAGCTGAACATTAGGCTTATACATCTAAATGTCTACTTTATGATTCTATGAACAAGTCTAAACACTCTGGTCATCTTTTAACAAGTGGTTTCTGAATCCCCTTCAATAATACAGACTTATTAGGGAAACCACATAGAACCTTTCACAGGCCAAAACACCAAAAGTAAGATATTGAGAAATACATGAATTCTTCAAAGTTAATGAAGTGCTTCAGGAAGTTAAGACTAACAAATGTGACTCTCCCTGTGTGGGCTTAATACGGCAACAAGCTAAAATAAAATTCCAATAACGCACAAAGAACCAGTAATGAGTAAAATATATTTTTTGATATTATAGAAGTGTAAAAGAAAATATAACCACATTAAAATGCTGCAGTACTATTTCCCTACCCAAGTCATCTGAAAGCTTTTTCCCACAGTGAAACTGAAGAGCATATTTCAAAGACCCAAAGTTTAATTCTTTATGAACTTCAGTAGATATACGGCATCAGATCAAAACTGATGAAAATCAAGCATCTCCTGAGGGCTTCCTATGTGTAAGACATAATGATAACAAGAACTAACCGTTAGTGAGTGCATACTACGTCCCAGGCACTATTCTTAGTACTCTGCACGTATTATCCACTTAATCCTCAAACATATATACCTATGAGGTATGTACTCTATCCTCAGTTTTAAAGATCAGGAAAATGAAGCACATAGAGGTTAAATAAATTGCCCAAGAGGACACAGAAAGTGGCAGAACTGGGCTGGGACCCCAGTAGTCTGGCTTCAGAATCCAGGCTTTTGCTACGCTAATAGGTAGTTACAGGATCCATGGACATAAACACTATTCAATCCCTGGAAACACTGCATGGTACAGAAAGAAAAACAAGCCAGGAAGAAGAATCAGCCAAGTAGGAAGAGGGGCAGATTCATTTCAGAATACCACATTATGGGGGCACTTAAGAGCACACATCTACAGCAAAATCCCTCAATTTCCTCCCTGTGGGAGCCAGCCTTCAAGCTAGCCCCACTGATCCGGGCCTCGGCCATTCTTGGCTTTGTGTAGTGCCCTACCTAGCACATTGTTTCAGGGTTGGTCTGTGTGACCAAAGTGATATGGTAGAAGTGATGATACTCAGTACCCACACTAAGTCACAATAGGCATTGTGGCTTCCACTTTGCTCTCTCTTGGATCCCTCGTTCTAGGGGAAGTTAACTGCTGTGTCCTAAGGACACTCAAGCAGTCCTGTGGAGAGGTGTTCTCATTGAGAAACCAAGGCTTCCCGCCAACAACCAGCACTAACTCACCAGCCACGTGAGTGAGCCACCTGGGAAGCAAATCCCCCCACCCCGGGAAAGTTTCTAGATGAATACAGCCTCAGCTGACTCTTGACTGACCTCATGAAAGATCATAAGCCAAAGCCCACCAGGCTAATTTTCTCCTGATTCCTTACCCACAGAAAGTGTGTGAGATAATAAACGTTTGTCATTTTAAATGACTAAGTTTTAGTGTAATTTATTACACAGCAATACCTAACTAATACACTGTTTATTTTTCCTTTTCAGTAAAAGGTGGTCCTGCAAACTATCGTAAATCCTTTCATTAGAACTAGATGGGCAGGGAATCGGGGAGGGGTGGGAGGGCTTGGGTAGCTCAGTTCGTTAAGTGGTTATGCATCTAATTCTTAAATTTGCTTAGGCCATGATCTGATGGTTTGTGAGTTTGAGCCCTGCGTCAGGCTCTGTGCTGACAGCATGGAGACTACTTAGGATTTTCTCTCTCTCTCTCTCTCTCAAAATAAATAAGCA